GTTGTAATAGCACTCCGTTTACTGTGATGTTCACCGTTGGCCGCTCTTTTCCATTGTTAATTACCTTAGTATTTTTGTTTTACGGGTGCGCTAGCTATAACTTCTCTTGGATTTAACTGGGTATCTGTAATGTGCTTTGTTGGTCTGCCATCCAGAGTGAGACTTTTTCTTCGTATCTCAGGGGGCAAACCGCGAGGTGGCTGGCTGGTGAGGACAAAGCTACACTGCGCATTTACCTTGCTAGAACATCTGTCAATGAACATCGGCAACCGAAATCGCTCTTTGGCTCGTCAGTAGACAACTTCGTCGCCGGTGGGGACAGTGTCGGGTCTGTCTACTTTAATCGCATAAACACAGCAGGAGTCTTTTTCAGGGCTCACGACATAACCTAGTCACAAAAATAGCCTGAAAGCTCCCCATTCGTTGCTGGCTGAACGTGACGATTTCGTTTCCCAACAAAGCACCTACCTACATAGAACATATGTTTTTCACTAGTTTTTTTTTTTTTAAATGTGACAGTGAGTGACATTTTGTGTGATTGCAACCGGTCAGTAATGGTGTTAGTCAAGGGGTGACCAATCTGAAGTTGGAAAATCTATTGATGATGTCCTCCTACTTATACCGTTGTCTACCTTTTGATATCTTTTCCTCATCACTTATGTTTTTCTTTCCATCTACTCTTCTGATATTCTTTCACTTGTATTCATTAAAATGTTCCATGCATTACTGCAGAACCAATACCAATGTAACTAGAATGTCTGAGTTCTGAGCTGTGTTATCTTCACAGCACTCCGGACACGTCCATAGGTGTTCAGATTCCCCTTTCAACATACTTATCAGCGTCCCGCGGTTAACAATGCCAGTTCTATGCTGGTCAACTAGACCTGTAAGCTCAATGTGCCTCTCAATCCTGATTTTGCGGATCTTTTTTCTTAATTCTTACATTCTTAGTAGTGCTGTGGACACTCAGCTGCCAAAATCATTCGATCTCTCGAAGGGAATTAACAATGTCGATGTGAGCCACAGGCCGGCCCTCTGCAGGCAAAGAAAAAATCAATCAACATGGAATGTCTTTGCATTGGAGCACACTTAGTCACAAGGAAACCAGGGGGGAGAAGGGTTGGGAAAGGGGGTGGGAAAGAGAATTGGTGAGTTCAGTGATACAAAAGGCGAGAACATAGGGTAAGTGAATGAGTGAGTGAGTGAGTTAATGAGAGAGTGGGTGTGTGGGTACGCGAGTGAGTTAGGGAGTGACTGAGTGTGTGGGTGGGTGAAAGAGAAAGTGAGTGAGTGAGTGAGTGAGTGAGTGAGTGAGTGAGTGAGTGAGTGAGTGAGTGAGTGAGTGAGTGAGTGAGTGAGTGAGTGAGTGAGTGAGTGAGTGAGTGAGTGAGGAAGGGAGTGGGTCGGTGGGTGGGTGACTGGGTGAGTGAAAGAGGGAATGAGCCAGCTAGTGAGTGAGTGAGTGAGTGAGTGGGTGAGTGACATTGAATCCTTCCAGGACTACATACTTAACTATTATAATCTGGTGACTCAAAGCGCCACTATTCGGATGAGAATCCCTAGGTAGAATTCTTAGAAATCCAGTTTAACCGAATGACATAATGATACTGGGCCACCGAAAGGCTACAAAAAGCAACTGAGAGGACGATCTGGCCTAAGTTGGCCGGGGACCTTGTTTGCTCCTTTTGGCGATCAAGAACAGAATAAGACAACTTCAAAATCGTGATTTGTTTACATACTGTAAGTCGTTGTGCTAATATATTTAAGTTGTACTAGCTTATGTTGGATGTGTAGTCAAACTGTTTCCCTCACACAGGACACGTCCATGCTGTTTGTTGGCGGTTTGCTTGTCGCTATCGCCATTGAGGTGTGGGATGTTCACAAAAGGATAGCACTCCTGGTTCTCAGGATTGTGGGTGCCGAACCTCGATGGTAAGTCTAGGGCGCTGAAACTCGATGGTAAGTCTAGGGCGCCAAACCTCAATGGTAAGTCTAGGGCGCTGAAAACTCGATGGTAAAGTCTAGCGTGCTTAACCTCGATGCTAAGTCTAGGGCGCTAAAACTTGATAGTAAGTCTATAACTTCCAGATATCGATGGTTAGTCTAAAACTACTAGATATCAGTGGTAAGTCTACAACTTCCAGATATCGATGGTTAGTCTAAAACTACTAGATATCAGTGGTAAGTCTAGAACTTCCAGATATCGATAGTTAGTCTAAAACTACTAGATATCAGTGGTAAGTCTACAACTTCCAGATATCGATGGTTAGTCTAAAAAACTACTAGATATCAGTGGTAAGTCTAGAACTCCCAGATATCGATGGTTAGTCTAAAACTACTAGATATCAGTGGTAAGTCTAGAACTCCCAGATATCGATGGTTAGTCTAAAACTACTAGATATCGATGATAAGTCTAGAACTCCAAGGTATCGGTCGTAAGTCTAGGACTCCAAGATATCGATGGTAAGTCTAGAACTCAGAAATATCAATGATAAATCTA